CTGAACAGCGCCTTCCTACCGTGATTCAATGTAACACCAACAGCCTTAAATCACGCCTACCAGAACTCCGCCAGCGTCTTAGAGAAACCCGAACGGATGTTCTTGCTTCTCAAGAGTCGTATCTTTAGCGAGGTACGGCTTTCACCATATGTCACATATCACAAAAAAACACCCCATCCAGGTGGAAAGTGACGTCACGGGCATCACGTTTCGTGAAACGATACATCTCACAAATGCAGGTAAACCTTGACGACCTTAACACTGTAATGGAGGAGCAGGTCGCCGTTACTCTGCGCTTGTCTCGGCGGTACGTTACAATCATATCCAGTTATGTTCCCCAGGTCAGCCTTGGGATTTTGAGTCAATACGGCTAATTCGGGCACGCTGTCCGCGTGCCTCAGTATGGTGTGGAGATTTTAACGCTAGTCACCCCGCTTGGGGTAGTAATGTGACCCCATCACGAGGAACAAAACTGCTAGACATTATGTGGGACCTCGACCTCAAATGCCTCAACTCAGGGACACCAATTTTTATCCGAGCACACCTGAAAAATGCCAGCGTGCTGGACCTCACATTTGCTTCCCAAGATGTCAAAATGGTATGGGACAAAGAACCATACTTATGAGGTACTGACCATCTTCCCATCCGGCTGACACCTAAAAAAAGTATCCCAATCAACAATCAAAGTCATAAAGTTATCAACTGGGATCTATATCGTAGATGTCTATTACAGCTGATGTCAGTCACACCAATACATGCAATCGAGGGCGCGATATCAACTGCAATCAATGCAGCCATCAAAACTAACTCTTCCCGTAACAAAGCCTATCCCTGACTTCTCTTATTTAAACCTTCGTGCGGCTATCCAGTGATCCCAGAGAGTTCCTAGTAGAACAGAAAAGGTGGAAGACTGGATCGTATCAAGGCGAACAGAGGCTGCGCTTTGAATACACACGGTTTGGCTCGGAAGAACACAGCGTCATCAACGGAGTGAATCCATAAACACAACCTCGGGGTCTCGAACACCGTGGAAAACAGCAAAATGCTTCCTCGCCTCGCTTTCCACTAGCTGCCCTTTCGCGGCTATATTTGTTAAAAAGCAACATCATTATGTCAAGTCTTGCCGAAATTCCCGCAAAAAAGTTCGCGCGTAACATCAGCCACTCACGCTCGCTGGAATCACCTTCGCGCTTTCTCGTTGCCGAACACGAGGCGCACCTGGGCCAGGCGGAATTATCAACAAGACCATAAAGGATCTCGATACCGAGCATCAGACTGTACTTACAAACAACTGAGGTCTCTTCCTACCGACCAATTTCCCTTACCTCTTGCCTCTGTAAACTGATGGAGCGCATGGTTTAGAGACGTTTGAAGTGGCAGCTAGAGCAGACGGGCTCACTTGCTCCTCATATTTCGGGATTTTGCAAAAGTCTCTCAACTGCAGATGCAATAGGAGATATGGCCTCATCCCTCGAAGACGCGAAGGCACAAAAGAAAACCGTACATTCGGTATTTTTAGATATGCATCGACCTTACGATGCTCTTCCACATCCAATTATTCTTGTGCGTCTCAGACTTATTGGAATTGGCGGGAAAATATACCATTTCATTGAAGCCTTCCTCCGTGGAAGAACATTTTGGGTGAAGTTACCATGAGTGAAGAGTTCTGAACAAGATAGCACTCAACGCGTTCCACAAAGAAGGGTCCTAAGCCCGCTACTATTTAACATTGTGATGGCTGGACTTCCTTGTGCCCTTCCTCAGTCGAAAACATTTCCAATACATTGCACTATCTACTCTGAAGATTTTGCTTTGTGGTGCACTGTACCCACCCCACTATCTACCCCAATACAAGCCAGACTGCAACGCGCCCTGAATGCTGCTACATAATTTTTACAGAACGCGGGGCTAAAATGATCTCCTGAAAAAACAATTGCACTAACCTACCGACCGCATGGTCGTCTTCGAAGTGAATATTCATCCTTGAAGTTAGATGGCAAACGGATTAGAAAAGAGAACACCGTCAAACATCTCGGCGTCATTATTGACATCAAAGTAGACTGGCAACCTGCTGTAAAAAAAGTCTTATCAGAGGCAGAAAAGCTTCTCGGTGCAATCCAACGCATTGCCGGACATGACTGGGGAGACAGCCAAAATACAATGCTAAGCGAAAAAGAAGCGAAGGGCGCCAGCGTGCACACCTTCAATCGGCGCTCTGCGAACCATCGACTTTGAAGGCGAGAAATACCCCAAATCTTCCAGCATGAACCACAACACCGGGTGCCTAAAGGTATTTGCTACCCAAGGACACTAAGTTCATAGAAATCGAACCACCGCCTGGCCTTGTTCGGCCGATTCCTCCTCCTGACGGGCCGGCGCCCCACTTGCCCTAATGAGGAATACGGTACCTGCGGCAGGCCAGCGGAGTGGGCGGAGCCCTCCCCAAGGCACCGCGACCCGAGATGGAATACGTCGAAGTGGCCGGTGAGTATATCTCACCGGAAGAGTTTACAGCAGAGGCAAACTGGCTCGTGAGCCACCGACAAAGGGGCACACGAGCCCTCAACAAGCTAGGCCTCACGGCGACGAGCACAACCAAAAATGACGCAGGTGGCCGGGCAGTAAACCAAAAACCACGTCAGAGACAGAGGAAACAGCGTCAGCAACCAGCCTTCCCACGCGAGGACACACTAGTCATCCTGCGGCGACGAAAGTGCCTTGATGTTACCAAGGTGAGCTCCGCGAGGCTATGTGACGGCGTATTCTGCGCCACCGGCCTCGAAGAGCAGGAAGCCGAGAAAGACCTGCTGTGGGTCAACCCGCAGACGAAGACCATCGTGACAAGCACACTAAGCATAGACCGAACCAGGAAATATAATTCTATTTAAAAAAATCTGCATCGCAGGCAAGACATATGAAGTCACCTTCGTACGCGGCGCTGCCAGAGGTTACGGCAAAAGCTGTTACACATAATATCCCCGATTATGACACATCGGAGGACATTACGCGCAGCCTCGACTAAAACAAGCACCCTACCATCTTTCAGGCACAAAGGATGGGAAAAACGAACTCGGCGGTCATCGTTTTCGAGGGCAACAAAGTGCCCTATTTTGTATATTACCATGAAGCGAAGTACCGGTATTTTTTTCGTAAAAAAAAGCACGAAGTGTGGTCCACCTGCGGAGAAGTCGGACACTACATGGACGTCTGCCCGGCGCCAGAAGACAAAATATGCCACTCTTGTGGTACAAAGAATCCACGAGAAAGGCATAAATGTGACCCCAAATGTTCCATGTGTTGTGAAGATCACCCCACAGGAGGCGAAAACTGTAAGAACAGGTTCCAAACGCCGTACCTACTACGGAAGAGACGGCGAGAAAGAGAACGACAAGATTGCGCCGGCCAATATGGCAGGCTTCGAGACGCAGCGTCGACGTCCGTTCTGGGTGGCGGCGAGGGTGGCGGGAGAACGAAAGGAAGGAGGACGAGAGATCGTTCGGAATCCTTCCCTCGTCTACCCCAGCGCGGATCAGGGAGTGACAACGACGCGGGACAGCGGCAGCAGCGCCAGTCAAGATCTCAGTCAAGATGCCGGAGACCTAACACCCAAGGCCGACATCAGTCAAGATCGACATCCCGAGGCGGCCGACACGAGACTCCGGGAGGAACCAAGCAGAACAAGGTAAGCTGGGCTAGAACGGTCTCCCACAGCTCGGCTCCGCAGAATGGAAAGAAAACGATTAGCAACCAAACTAGCGCGCATCAGGCAGACCGGCAGCAATAGGTGGAACTCACTAAAATCAAGCAAATGCTAGCGATGGTAGTCGCCGAAAATACAAAGCTAAAGGCTGAAGTGGCGAAACTAAGAGGAAGCGAAAACGCCGACAAATTAGTCACCAAAGCGCAGGGTCCCTCGAAATCGCAGGCCCCACCGCCAGATCAGGGCAAGGCAAAAACACTACGACTCCCGAAGCGTAAGGCGACAGACCCAACAATAACAAACGCCCCAAGGCTTCCCAAGACGGCAGGGAAAAGGGACGAAGAGACATTGCAACATTTCGGGGAGAAGTTGAGCGAAATGCTCACCATAAAGTTCGAAGCTATACTGGCGAAATTCGCTGAGACCATATATGCACGCAAATCGCAGCACTTAACGCTAGGGTAACTGCGATTGAGGCCATTTTTTTCACCGGAGGGGGAAGAGGAACGGGTCCGATGAAATCCATCAAACCTTACGCCAGACCCATATCATTGGAAAGCGCTAGAACCGGCCTAGAAAATACGCAGCTTAAGGTATTTTATTGTCATAGACAATAAAATAGCAGGTGAAGCGCCAGACGTCATATGCCTACAAGAAACGGGAGCTTTGGCTAAACTTTCGGAATACAAACCGTTCTACAGTGAGGATTAACCGGCCTCGGACGTTAAAAGTATAACAGTATACTGTTATACTTACGTCTAACGAGGGTCGCTATAGCGACCCTCGTTAGACGTAAGCCACCGGTTATATGGCGTGATACCGGCGTAACGACCCTGGACCACGTCCTCGTGGAGATCATCTCCAGCCAAAAAAGGGGCAAGGGAAGCCTGTTTGCACTAAACGCATACAGCAACCTCCGCAACAAACACAGATTCACGAACCTGTTTCGCAAGACATTAGACATTGCAAAGCGTCAAACACTAGTGACACTAGGTGATTTCGACGGACACCGCCGAGCCTGGGGATACAAGCGGGAAATGATCAAAGGGCGGAATCTCTGGCTGGATACCCAGGAGGGGCTGTCTCTGGTCATTGCAGTAATCAGCGAGAGATGGCGCCACCTCTCTCTCTGGGATGCCATGGTCTGAACACGAGCGCGGAGCGCGCGACATAAAGATCATTCTTTCGAATCTGCATGCTGGCTGATGCGTGTTGCTTGCTACATGGTGGCAGCGATTTAAGCCCAATTAGGTTGTAGCGGTTCAAAGAATTCGAGTTGTTTGCGGTAACAACGCACCTCATGGGTCAACCTGACAAGGTGCAAGCAGCAACACATCTCGTCTGCATCGGGGAAGAAGGTAGGCGAATTTACACTACCTTCACATTCGATAACGAGGAAGACAGAGAGAAACTAGAAGTCCTGAAGAATAAGTTCGCGGCGCGCATGAAGCCAGCGATCAACCTCAAGTACCACGAATTCATCTTTGGGAAAAGAGACCAAAAAGAAGATGAGAAATTTGATGAGTGGTTGACGGAACTGAGGGTACTTGTGCGCAACTGCGAATACGGCGACGCCGAAGAACGTATGCTAGGAAGCCGAATAATACTCGGAACTAAAGACCGACAATTACAGCAGAAACTGATTAACGACAATCCTACCTTTGACAAAGTCGTGGAGATACGCCGAACCAGGGAACGAACTGTAGAACAGTTCAACGAAATCCGTGGAAAGGACGAGCGACACAAGGACCCACTGGCAGTAAAGGTGCTCAGAAGAGCGGACCAACCCACGTGCCACTGTTGCGGCTTCGTTCATCGCGTGAGCACGTGCCCAGCTGCTGGAAAACAGTTCCTTCGTTGTGGCGAGCTAGGCCATTTTGCAAAATGCTGCAAGACCGGGACCCAGACATCAGACAGCCGTCAACGACGCCAGTCGAAAGAAGGACAAAAATTTAATTCCAAAGTACGACAAGTAGAGCGCTAGGATACGGACGACAGCGATGAAGATTATCTGCTGTGCCATTTAACATAGATAAGATAGAGAAAGAAGACCGATGGATTGAGACAATCACAATAGAAAAAGATAGCGTACGCGGCAAGCTCGACACCGGGGCTAATTGCTCAGTCATCCCAGAGAGACTGCTCCGTTTAATATCAAACAAGAAAGTCCGGAAGTGCGACACCACACGTCATCGTTTTTTTGGCCACAAAAGAAAAGCATGTGGGAGAACAACACTGACAGTGTCGAATGGAGCCAGAACGGTCCAGGAGGAGTTCTTTGTGGTCAAGGAAGAGGTACCGGTGACGTTGGGAGGAGAACTGAACGAAAAACTTGGAATGGTCAAGCGTTTGGCTTCAGTGTCAAGAGAGCTCGAAGACACAAATGCATCAAATACAAATCTTTGCGACCCTGCCTGACCATACGCAGACGTTTTCCGCGGACTGGGGAAGATCAAGGGATTTGTATACAACATGAACGTGAAGCCAGGTTTACAAGGCGTCGTTCGCCCAGCCAGGAAGTTGCCTGAGGTACTGGAAGAAAAGTTCAAGTTTAAACTTCAAAGAATGGAGAACCAGGGAGTTCTGACAAAAGTAGAAGAACCGACAGAATGGTCCAGTTTCATGGTAATTGTCGCAAAGAAGGACAAAGTGCTCATCTGCATGGACCCAGTTGACTTGAATCGAGGCCTGGGGAGAGAGCACTACCCGATGACGACAATGGATGACATTGCCGTTTGAATCACGGGAGCGAAAGTGTTCTCAGCACTAGACGCATCCTCAGGATTCTTGCAGATGGAACTTGATGAAGAGAGTTCAAAGTTGTGCACCATGAGTACTCCGTATGGAAGGTACATGTTTAAGGGAATGCCCTTCGGAATAAGCACAGCACCTGTAGTTTTTCAGGGTGTCTTAAACGAAGTACTAGATGGACTCACCGGAATAGCAGTCGTGATGGACAACATATTGGTGTGGGGAAAGACCCGTTAGGAACATGACGCGAATCTTCAACACTTGCTCCAACGCTGCCGAGAGGTGATTCTACGACTTAGCGCAAAGAAGATCCAATTTGCCAAGACAGAAGTCCGCTACCTCGGAAAAGCGCTGACTGGTGATGCTGTTGACCAAGACAGAATCAAAGCCATACTGGAGGTCAAAGAACTAAAATATTGCAAGATATTTTGAACATTTCTCAGAATGATCACCTACTTGTCGAGCTTAATACCACGACTTTCCGAGCGTGCGGCACAACTAAGAGAACCGCTGAAGGAAGATATAGCATGGGTATGAGCGGAAGATCAACAAAGAAGTTTCGAAGACCTGCGAGACGCTTTGACGAAGGCACCAGTGATGCCCTACTACACTGCAGAAAAGCCAATTACGCTGTCAGTCGACGCAAGCCAATACGGCGTTGGGGCCGTTATCACCCAAGACGGAAGACCAATAGCGTACTCATCGAGATATTTGACAGCCGCACAGATAAAACATGCGAAGATCCAGAAAGAGATGCTGGCCATCGTTCATGGTTGCAGGAAGTTCCACCATTACATATTCGGCCAACCAAACGTAACAGTAGAATCCGATCACTGGCCGTTACGAGCGTTTTTGTCGAAACCGTTGATCAGTGCCCGATGAGACTGCAGCGGATGAAGATGGCTCTCCAAAAATACTCGTTGGAATTGAAATTCATACCTGGAAAATAAGTGCAGCTAGCGGGCGCACTGTCACGCTTTCCCACGAAGGAAACACTGTAAGAAGAAGAAGAGAAATTTCAAGTCAAGGCACTGGAGTACATATCTGTCACACAAGATCGGCTTAATGAAATAAAAGACGCAACTGCAGCCGATGCCCAGATGCGACTACTGCGCAGGTATACACCGACGTCATGGCCCGAGCAGAAAGATCAAGTTCCTGAACTCGGAAGGCCATTCTGGTCCTACAGAGGAGATCCACGAGGAAGACGGCCTTGTGCTATGGTCCAACAAGATAATAATACCAACGGCCATCAGATCGAAAATTCTCAACTTGCTCCACATGGCACACACCGGCAAAGACAAAATGAAAAGCCCGAAAAGTTTTGTTCTGGTCCTGAATCAATGCTGACATTGAACGCGAACATGACAAATGCAGCAAATGCGAGAAGTACAAATCAAAAACCGTGAAGATGCCACTTCGGAGCCACGCACTGCCAATGCTTCCTTGGCAGTTTGTTGGGACCGATTTCTTCACTCATGAAGGAAAAGACTACATAATCCTGGTGGATTTTTACTCATTTTATTTTCGAGGTAAAAGAAATGAAAAGCACCACAGCTTCCATAGTAAAAAAGTTCTACCTTAAAGTATTCGCAACACACGGACTGCCATTGAAAATTATAAGCGACAATGGCCCACCGTTTGGGAGCTAGGAGTTCAACCAGTTCCTGGAAAACCTCAAGATAGAACAAGTTACATCAATCCCCTATCACGCTCGATCAAATGGCATGGCTGAACGAGCCGTACAACAGGCCAAACAACTCTTGCGAAAGGGTGCGAAAAGTGAAGAGTTTTACTGCTCCCTCCTTGAGTGGTGCAACACTCCACGATGCCATATTCTCCAATCGCCAGTACAGAGACTGATGAGCCGACACACAAGAACACTGTTACCTGCGCGACCGGAACATTACCTGCCCGCTGTTGTGCCACCCATGGCTGTCACACGTCGTCTCACAGAAATAAGGCGGCGACAAAAGGCGAACTACGATAGAAACTCAAGAACGCTGCCAGACATTGACACAAGCTCTACAATCACCGTCTACAACACCCTGCGGCGCACATGGTCACCTGCCACAGTCGTAGGACATCCAGCGCCGAGGTCCTACAACATTTTAACCCCGAAGGTTAAGTCCGCCGAAGAACCCGTGACCGGCGACAGATTCTCGACAAGAACTGACCTCCACGGGGAAAGAGAAAACCGGCACGAAACAGAGTCCCAGTGACTTTAACCAGAGTCAGCCTCAGCCGGGACCGCAGCTGCGAAGAGGAACAAGGGAAAGAAGGCCACCACGGTGATACCCTAACCATGCTGATGGTGACGCTCTACGCTGACTTTTCCAGAGAAAAGAGATGTAGTAACGAGCGAGAGATTGCGCCACCTCTCTCTCTTTGATGCCGAGATCCGAACATAAGCGCGGAGCGCGTGACGAAAAAATCATTCGTTCGAATCTCCATGCTGGCTGATGAGTGTTTCTTCCTACACTCACCAACCCCGCGTACCCCACCAGGGTGGGAAACAGCATGTATACGGACACCACACCGGACCTAACATTCACAAGCAACGCTAAAAAGGAAAGCGAGTGGCTAAACACTCAGAAAAATCTAGGAAGTGACCACTATATAGTGGCCGCAAAACTAGAAGCGGGCCCCCACAAACAAAAAAAAAGGGCACGCTGCTTAAAATGATCGAGTGGGACGAGTTCAGGGAACTAAGAGCAGCAGACCGTGATTCATACGAGGACGAAACAGGGACGCACGAGATTGAGGACATTGAATCGTGGTCGAACAACTTCACACACGCGTGCAGAAAGCAACAAAAACCATTCCGGAAAAAGCCGAACTAACACAGGCCGACGCTAAGCTTCTACATATGTGGGAAGCGAAGCAAGGCTTGCAAAAAAAGGTTAAGGAAACAAAAGCTAAACCGCGCACTTCGCCGACGACTAGCGATCCTTAATAAAACAATGGAGGACTACGCGATGGGCCTTGCAACATAAAAGCAATGCCACGCAGAAACACAACCTAAGAAATTCTGCACACCTACCGATGCACGAACGACGACCTAATCAAGAAAGTCCGCAATAGATACATCGGGACCAATCCAAAAGAGCAACTTTGAATATACACTGGAGCCTCGAATGAGACTCTTGACCATCCGTTCACGACGGTGGAGGCGCGTGGAGCCATACTAGGGTTTTGCACCAAATCCGCTCAGGGACCGGATGATGGTGTAACAAACAATATGCCGAGGAATCTAGATGACTATTCTATCGACGCTCTCACCAAGTACATGAACAAATGCTGGAAGGACGGTAAAATCCCTACACAATGGAAGATTGCTAAGGTTATCACGATACCGAAACCGGGCAAAAAGCTACTGCTGGAGACCCTGCGGCCCATCTCGCTCACCTCATGCGTGGCGAAGCTGATGGAGCACGTAGTGTTAAACAGACTAAACAAGTATATGGATGAGAAGGGACACTTTCCCTATACCATGATAGATTTTCGGCCCAGGCTCTTGACTCAAGACGTGATGCTGAGGCTTCAACATCAAATTATAGATGGAGAAGAATGCTTCCCGCTAGACAGCAGGGCCATTGTGGGGCTCGACATCACAAAGGCATTTGATCATGTGAAATACGCAGCAATTATAGAGAAGTTAGAAAAATTAGAGGCAGCTGAAAAGACCTACGACTACATCAGGGATGTTTTATCCGACAGGACGGTTACCCTGACAGTAATGGGGGTTGAGTCCGGCGAGCTGGAGTTGGGAAACAGAGGCACCCCGCAAGGCTCTGCCCTCTCGCCTTTCCTCTTCAACGTCGGTATGATCGGCCTACCCAGCCTCTTAGGGAAAATACACGGACTAAATCACAGCCTGTATGCTGACGACGTCACACTCTGGGTGGCTGGCGGCAGCGACGGTGACGTGCAGGATACACTGCAGTAGGCAATAAACGCGGTGGAAAGGTTCGTAAAACCGAAAGGCTTAAGCTGCTCCCCACAAATATCGGAGCTGCTCCTTTATCGGCCAACCCGGAGAGGACAAAAAAAGGAATCAACCATTGAAAAACCAAAAATTCAGCTATACGCTTGCGTCCGGGGGGCTGCCCATCCCGGTGGTACACTGCATTAGGGTCTTAGGCCTGAAAATTCAGGAGAACGGTAAAAACGTCGAGACAATCAGGACACTCGAAAAAGTGTGTATCAAACCACACGCCTCATTTCGCGGAT